GTGGTTGGGAAGCTGGTTTACGCTCAGCGCAGGGCGTTGGGCTCTGCAGGTACAAAGGGGAGGACGCGTTTGTGCCGTCACCGAGTCTGCCGTGGAGCCTGGAATAGGGTTAAAACCTGTGAAGTAGTTAAGAGACCTTCCGTAACAGGGGATGCCCTGAGTGCTTCTGCCTCAAAGCACAGGGAGTTTTAGGAAAAGGAGGGAGCCTTACGGCCAGCTGGTGAGAATGGGTGAGGCCCGGCCTGTGGTCCGCACGACGGGAGGAAGTGCTTCGTGGCATCATGGTTGTGGGTGTAGAAGGGGGGTGGCTGGGCCGGCTGGAGCCAAGGGTCCCTGGGAGGAGGGGGTGTCACGGCACAGGCAGGCCCCCATAGTGTCGGTCCAAGAGCGTATGTCATCGCCACAACCGTCACGGGTTCTCGGGCCAGTGCTCCTCTCAGTGCACTTATTATCTGCATGGGAATGTGCACCTGCTCTCTTCTCTCAAGCACACGCGGATGTGTGTGCGCCCGGAAGCTCTTGCGTCTGCGTGTGTGCGTTTGCACGCTGGAGTCGGTGGTATGTGTGCAGACCCGGGGAGCCCTCGGTGTCCCCGGAGCCTCCTCTCCCAGGCCGCGTGCAGGCACCTCCCAGGACTCCAGCTCCCAAGTCTGTCCCGGAGCACAGGCTTGGGAAGGAAGCCATCAGTGTCGTGGCCCCACGGTTGCGGGGAGGTCCCTGCGCATCTCCCACTGGCATCGTCCTCAGCAGGACACAGACACATATGCAGGCCAAGCAGGTCCTGAGTGACGACAGGCTCCAACCACCCAGTCTGGCCCGCCGACCCGCACGTGGGCAGCATGTCATGAAGGAGCAGGACGGCGAGCTGGTGGGGCCGCGGAGGCCACCGTCATGGCAGGTAGCATCAGACCGAGCTTCCTGTCTCCTGCTCCTCTCCAGGTAACTGTCACCTGGTGGCCCATTTTCCTGGATTCAGCCATCGCTGCACTCTGGGCTGTGGGGCTGCAGCTGCCCTTGAAATGAAGCCCCTCTCTGGCCACATGCGTGTACCCCTATCACCCCATCTAATTTCGGAGGTAGCGGGGCGCAGGGCTGAGGCCTGGTGGTCTGACCGTGCTCAGATGTGGAAAGGGATCTTGCTTCACTTCCGTCCAGAGGACTTGCAGGGACGCTCTGGGGTCACACAGAGACATTCAAGGCTGGGGTGGGAAAGGGGTAAGTGGCGTGCGGGCAGCCACCTGTTGCTGGGGTCAGGACCCAGGTGCATTTCCAGAGTGTCTGCCCAGTGCCCTGGGACCCCCACGCAAGGACTGGCTCCCTCCGGGCGCCTCGAGCTGTTCCGTCAGGCGTGTTTGCTTGCTCAGCCCCGGTGGGCGCTGCTGGCTCCTCTCCTCACGGGAAAGCAGCCCAGCGGCTCCTGCTTCCTCTCCGGGGGGGGCTACCATCTGGTGGGTTAGACATGCATGCTCTGTCCCGCTTCCTGGGGTTCTGCTGTTCTGAGTCCGTGGCTCTGTGAGTGGGTCATATTCACCCCACGAGTCCTCCGACAGGGAGGAGGTGGCTTCCTTGGTCCCACCTTGGAGACACCAGGTGTACCCGCTCATCGTCTGCGCGGGCCGAGCCACTCCGGCTCTGGGCTCCAGCTGTGGTGTCCCCGCCGGCTCCTGCAAGTGACCTGAGCACGACCTCACGCATCTCTGTTGGTGATTGGGGGGCGGCACCCCAAATGCAACCCCTCAGGCCCTATTGCTCACCAAGGCAGCCCCTGTGGGCCTTCCCTGGATGCCACCTCTCGGGCCCCTGCCCTCCCCAGCGCCCACGGCAGGCTGCAGCGTGGGTGCGAAATAGGCCCCTTCTTGGGGAACGGGCGGTGGGAATGGGCGGGAAAGGAAGGCAGCAGGTCCTCCTGGTTCAAGGGCAAGTGATTATTTCTTGATTGTGAACTCACACAGAAGACGACCTTGAGAAGCCAGTGAAAGGCGCACAGTCGGCCCCTCCCTTGAGAGAGGGGTGAAGAGGGGCATGTTCTTGGGGGCTTGGGGAGGAGCCCGGAGCAGTTGCCCCCTGCAGCCCCGGGCAGGAGAGGGGCTGCCGGCGGCTGGGCTGAGGCTGGTGTCATACAGAGTTAGGGTGAGGTTAGGTTTCGAGGGCTCTTGTACCCCTCCCTGGATTCACACGGAGACTCCCTTCAGCCAGGTGGGGCTCCTTCCATAACGTACATTCCAGTGATTCCCAGCGTTCGACGTTTTGAAATTTTCCCGTGTCTTCACACATTTGTGCCTCCAACCCTGCATCACACCTGCGCGTGCCCGAGTGCAGGGAGGTGTCGTGCCAGGACCGCAGCCCAGACCCCACGCGCTGGGAGCCTGCCGCTTGGGATGCTGTTGGCGCTGGCGGGGGCGGCCGGGCTCCCGCGTCCGGGTCTCACTGGGCTGCACTCATCGGCCTGGCCTGGGAGGTCGGTAGGGAGGCACCAAGTGGGTGCCGTGGCAGTCGGTGGGCACAGGCGACGGGCTCTGCTGGCCCGAGGAGGCTGGGGTCTGGCCCGGGGGATGTGGGCTCCGTATGTCAGGGTGGCCCTGGCGCGCTGTAGGCCTCATCACACCTCATCATTCGCTTCTGCAGATGCTGTGGTCCACCCGCCCCGCACTGGGTCTCAGGGACCCTGGTTCCTGGAATATTGGGGGAGTCACGGTGAGCAGGGGCACCAGAGCTGTGCCACGGCCTCGCCAGCAGGCCTCCAAGCACTGCTGTGAGGCCGGGCCCATGTCACAGACCAGGGCTTGGTGCGGCTCTTGTTCTCTCTCCACATCTGACTTGTAAGGAACACACTTTTCTGGCATCTCTGCCCTCCTGTTCCTGAGTCTGCACACCCCACCGTGGCCTTTCCCCAGTGTGGCTCAAGGTCCCCACAGACTTTGTTTCGACGCCGGCCTCCTTGGGGCTCTGGGCCAGCGGAGGAAGCACGGGCTGCAGCTCCGAGTGGACAGGCAGGGAGAGATGATGAAGACACAAAGGTTCCAGGTGGACCCCTTCCCCTGTCGGTGTCTGACCTCCTGGAGGCCATGAATGTGGGCTCTGCATGATGGCCGGAGGGTTTCTAAGTCGGGTTGGGCAACACGGTCAAAGGGTACACTTCCACACCACGTGCCCACGCTCACCTGAAAATGTCTTCTAATTTTCCAGTGTGATGTGGAAAGCCCCTGTGTTAGGAGGCTTGGAGGACTTGTCTGTCCTTCTTGGAAGGGTCCCCGGCCCTGGGCATCCTGCTCTTTCCTGGGAAGTGGATGGAGGAGCAGGGGCTCTGATCACAGACCCGCATTGGGTCTCTCCTTTCTCACTTGAGGGCAGAACAGCACCCCGCAGGTTGGCAGATCTAGAACAAGCCCATGGGGTGTGGGGCGCAGGTCGGGCTGTGGGTGAATAGTCTCCTGCAGAAACTGGCATCCCCAGGCAGAATTCCGGTCCTGTCCCCATTGAGAGAAGGCGGAGGGGGTGACTAGGGGCCGTGGCTCATTACCAGCCTCTCGTTGGAGGGCGGGAGTGTCCGTCCCACTATGGCTACACTTGCGTGGGACTCCCCGGGAGGGTTGCAGGGCAGGCCAGCAGCTCCTGACCCCAGCCCGCGTCTCCGTCTCTTCCTGGGGCCTCCAAGGGCCCTTGGCCCCTCCTTGAGGGCTCTGTCCCCAGGACTCCTGCTGTGGCCGTCCCCTGCAGGCTGCCCCCCAGCTGCTCCTGGCTCAGGCGCTCCATGTGGGCTCCGTCCTTTAGGATGTGTCCACAGGAGAAGTCCCGACTTTTCCTTCCCATGGCTTCTCTCTCGCAGGCTCCCGGGTCACCTCCTGGGGCCATCACACACCCGTCACTTCTCCCAAGCCATAGACCCCTCCTGTCCCTTTCTTCCCAGGGCCTGGGTTGCTGGGGCCTGGCTGGCTCCTCGCACCCTGTACCCCAGTGGTTCTTGGAGCCGCAGTGATCCTGGACCCTTCCCAACTCACCCTGTGCGTGTCCTCCTCTGAGGACTCCGGGGACACTGGATTAGGATCTCATCTCCCTCATGATCTCATCATAGTATGATGGTCCACAGTGACCTCTCTGCCCATGAGCTCACATTCTGAGGTTCTGGATTTGGGACTTGAACACGTGGCGCTTGGGTGACACAGTTAAATCCATAGCCACACGTGGCTTTGCTGCCCAGGTGCGGCTGGCACGCAGGCCCAGGGAGGCAGGTCCGGTCTGTTTGCAGCTGCACCGAGCTCGTCCCTCACACGCCGGCTGAGAGAGCAAGAGGCCAGCTGGGAGGACTGTGGCGGCTGCGCCCAGGTTTTATATGACGACAAACCGGAATGTTCCTCGAAAGGCGAGGCATGATGTACACAGCTGTGTGCTGGGACTCGGGACTTGTCCCTGGAACTCGGGTTTGCACAGAGACTGCAGGGCCGTCCCCCCCACCCCCCGGGCCTGGGGCTCATCGCTTCTGAGCACCCCGGCCCTCCCAGGGGTTGCTGCAGATCTGGGCTCCACGCTGACCTTCTGACGTGTCCCGCTCACCTCTCTCTCACCCGCACGTCACTCATTTTAGAAACAAACCCATTTAAAAACCCTTTCCCTTTGTGCATTTGACGCCCATCCTGAAACTCGATTTTCAGCATCTGCTTCCCCTCCGTCTCCCATCTTTTCTCCCTCCTTCCTGGCGGCCCTCCCCGCCCACCTCCTTATTCTGTTTTTTATTGAAGGCTGAGCTGAGCCGTCGCTGCATCACGGGCCCATTACGCTTCTAACAATTCCATTTGCACCGTATTGTTTGTCTCATTGCTGGGAGATTCAGGTGATTCATCATGCCCGAAGAAGCACCTGATCCCCGCTGCCCCGGGAGTCTGGTCACTATGTGACAGGAATGCCACAGGCGCCGCGGGGGGGCGCGGGGGGACGCGCGGCTTCTCAAGTGTTGATGAGTTCCATTTGGTAACGCTGCCCCCACCCCCCACTCTCCTCAACAGCCCCCTGAGTCCAGAGAAGGGGAAGGAGCTGATGGAGAGAGTCGCGCGTCTCCTGGAGGTGCCGATGAGTGTCTTCGCGGAGATCGCGTGAGTGCCAGTGCGGGGTCTCGGGGTTGGCGTCTCTGCTCACATCAGGTTCCATGTCATAAATTGGTCTGCGAGGAAAAGAACTGTGTGCCTGGGGTTCTCGTTAATTATATCAGAGAAACAGTTCAGGAGGGAAACGGAAGGAAAATTCCGGGTGGGCTTGGGGCGTTGTTTAAGTGCGGATGAAACGGGAGTGTAATTGTAAGAATTCTGATCTCCTGGAAGGACGGGGCCCGCTGGGGCCGCGGTGCTCAGCCCTGCGCACTCCAGAACATTCTGGTGCTGGGGCCCCACCTGCTGCAGATGAGCGCAAGCCCGGGGACGGCGCGGGTCCGTGAGAAGTCAGCACTTCCTAAACGGCTCTGGTGTGCGGACCCTGCCACGTGCTCACTACCCCACGTCTCCCGAGAACCGCCAGCCCTCTCGTCGCCCGTGGACAGGCTGTGGGCAGACTCGGTGGCTGCGGAGACCGGGGCGCAGGCTCCGGTCAAGTCTGCGGTGAGGGCTGCCGCCTCCGCGTTTCTGGAGGCTGCCCAGAACGGGGCCATGCGCCTGAGCAGGAGCAGGTGGACAGAGTGTGACTCGTAAGCGAGGGCAGGAGCACATAGACTGGCACGTCCCAGCTGGTGGGGGTCGGTCCGGACGTGGAGGACAGGCCAGAACCTCTGTCGGGACGGACCGGTGCGTGTGTTGTGAGCCGCTCGGGAGTCAGAGGCTCGGGCGAGCTCTGTGGGTGCCAGCAGCCAGCCCGGGCCCTTCTGTCCTGCAAATACAGTTTGAGCGTCCGCGAGTCTTGCCACTCTGTGGGGCTGTCTGAGCTCTGTTCCTGCTGCTGTTAGCTCATTTGGAAGTTCATCGCCCTTTATTTTGGGTAGGAAGGAGCCAGAAGTTGGGAGAAAGAGGCCAAGGCCAAGTCCTCGTCTCAACAGGAAGCCCAGGTTCACCTCCCTGGGCCCCGTGCACCTGACGACTGTCCAGTCCATCTCTCCAGCTTGTGAGGGCTCTTGTGTTGTCTCTGCCCCAGCAAGCATGCTCGCCTACAAGATGCAGCTTTTCTCTGCTCCTCGTTTTTTGAAAGATTTTATTTGTTCATTTAACAGAGAGAGAGCCAGGAAGCATGCGCAGGGGAGCAGCAGGCAGAGGGAGAGGGAGAAGCAGGCTTCCTGCTGAGCAGAGAGCCTGATGCGGGGCTCGATTCCAGGACCCCGGGATCATGACCTGAGCTGAAGGCAGACGTTTAACGACTGAACCACCCAGACCCCCCAAAACGCAGCTTTTCATTCCACAAACATTACAAATCTCTGAGCCGGGTACCAGTGTGGAGCCGGGGTGTTCCGGCAGGCACAGGAGCAGAGCGGGAAAGGTCCGGCGGCCTCGTTCACGTGGAAACAAAGGGCCCAAGGCTATGAGGTCTGGAGGGCTGGTTCCCGGCTGCCACCAGGCGGGAGGGACGACCTGCTGCATGGAGCAGGCAGCACAGTTCAGGTGGGCCCTGCGGTCCTCGTGAGGAGTGTGGGATTCCTGTGGGCTGCCGGCCGCTGGGGACTACGTCTAGAGAGTTTCCAGCTATGAAGAACGAATTACAAGGGACACCGGTGGAGGCCCGAGTGACCTGGGACCGCTGAGGCTTCTAGGTGAGTGTTGGTGGTCCTGACGCCGCACCGGGTAGGGCTGGAGAGGAGATCGCGAGTGTGGGCAGGAGCCGCGAGACTGGGAGACACCAACTTGTGACTACACCTTTCCCTGCTCAGTTGAGCCACACGCCAGCCCCGAGGGCTTTCAGTCCTGCGTGTCATCTCAGACACCCTTGAGAACCGTTCTTTGTCTGAGGCCTGCCCTCCAGTGCCGGTCTACGCAGGCATCTCTGCCCGTCTCTCTGCAACCCTGCAGAAGGGGGCATGGCTGCTGGGCTCGGGAACGCAGTGTGCCCTCAGGAGACCCACGGGGCCCTTTGCCCAGGGCGCAGTCTCTATGGGTGCCATTGAACAGATCACACAGGAGAGCATGGCTGACCTGGAGGTGCTGACTGTTCCCTTCAGAGAAGCGGAGGGAAGTTTCCTGAGCTCCCCACATGTGGCTCGTCTGTGGTCTTTACCGGTGACCCCAAGGCCAGGGGTCCCAGCGGTCCCTGACACACTCACGTCAGGTACCCAGCGCAGGGCCTGCACCAACATTGACCCATCAGCCACGGCGGGGCGGTCCTCACCCCTCTGCCCATAAGCAGGAGATGCTGAATCTGGCCCCTGAGACTCAGCAGCTGGTGCCGCAGACACATGGCTGCGGGGACATTGGCTGAACGAGTCCCCGCCTCCTTCGATAGAGGTGAGAGCTCCGGGAGTGACTGGAAGTAATAACAAGACTTTGCATTTCCGGGAGGAGCTCCAGGAGTGGCCGGGGCGGACTGAGCCTTTGGAGAATGTCACCACAGCTCAGGCCCCTTATCGAGAGCATCAGACAACAGAGAAACCCCATGGACAGGCTTCGGGGTGAAACTGGGCCTGGCCCCACTGGGGCCTGCATTTACTGCATTTTCATGATTTCCCTTTGAGCTCTGGTGAGTGTGCACCAGGCAGAAGGCAGAGGTCCCTGCCCGCCAGTGCTAGCTGGTCGGGAGTGGAGGTGTGTGCCTCATGGGCTGGGCCCCGGCTGCGGAGAGAGCGCGGTCTGGGAGGAGGGCCGTCCTCAGGACAGGTGGGAGCTCGGGGGCTGAGAGCCTCAGCAGCAGCCGTGGTGCCTTCTGGCCGGAGGCGGCTCAGGCGGCTGTGACCCGGAGCCCGCCACCGAGGAGGGGAGCTGTGCTTGAGCCAGGCCGGAAGCCCCCAGACCAGCCTGCTGAACGCAGTGGGACTGAGCCGTCCACACAGCAGGCAACCGCCGAGCACCTGCCCACGGCTTTTCTAGCAGCGAGAGTGTGTCGTTTCCTGCCGAAGGAAGGTGACACCCAGAGAGAGCGTGACCTGAGTGTCCGAGGTCAACACGCACGTCTGGCTGGTCTTCTGCCCTGCCCCGCGGTTCCTGTGCTGCCCTCCGGTCACCTCCCTTTCTCCACAGCCTCAGCCAGGCTCACAGGCCCCTAACAGAGTCTCAGGGCAGTGGCAGGAGGGCCAGAGGCCAGCGTGAGGCATGGCAAGCTTTGGGACTGAGGGACTTCTGATGCAGGCTGGGGGGTGGGGGTCTCAGGACTATAGGGGCTTTTGGTCTGGGAAGGGTCATCTTCTGGGGAGGGGTGTCCAGTAGGGGGACATCTGGTGGGGGAAGGGGTGTCCAGTGTAGGGGGTGTCTGGTGGGGGGTGTCCGGTGGGGGGAGGGGTGTCCAGTGGGCAGACTAGTATCCAGTGGGGGGTGTCCAGTGGGGAGGCATCTGGTGGGAGGTGTCCAGTGGGAGAGGAGCCTGGGGCAGGGGTGTCCTGTGGGGACGTCCGGCAGGAGCTGGCTACCCTTGCTCCGTCGCTGGCCTCCCCCTGGGATCTGTGCTCACACACTTCAGCCCTTCCCACCGCACCCCCGTAGTATCTGAGGACAACCGGGGCACAGGGGGTTTCTGGGGAGCACTTTCTGGGTGAGCTGTGGCCATACCAAAGCTTTTGTGAATGTCTTTTGCCACAGTTTCTTCCCTGGTCAGAAAACTGGGGGCTTCCGATGTCCCATGGAGCCAAACGTGACACCGCCACCATGTTTTGAAGCCGGCGAGAGGCTGGTACTTCCGTAGCTCTCCTGGGGGCCCAGCACTCCAGAGGGTCCTCCCAGCTGCTGTGCCCGGATGGAGGTGTCCCCAGTCTCCCCTGCTCTGAATGTGGCTCCTGCTTCCAGTCTAGGGCTGGTCCTCCCAGGGCCATGGTTAGTGTCGGCCCTGCACGTTGGGGTCCTTGGTGACTGCACGTGTGCCCGAGCGTGTGCTGCGTGTGCCGTGGTGTACACGTGTGCACTCACTGTCGCTCCCAGGGCCCAGCATGATGCTGAGCTCGGGCACCCACCGGACAGACGTGGGCAGTGGAGGCGCAGCAGGGGGCGGCTGGGGGACAGCTCTTGGCACCTAGGAACACGTTCTCAGGGTTGCGCACTGTTCGAGGAGAGGGGGAGGCAGCCGCACAGGCGGGAGCTGCCAGAGATTTTGTACTTAATATGTTTTGTTAATGGTTATGTAGCTGTCAAGTAAATTCCATTATTTCTTATTACATCATTAGAGACCATTAAAACGGCATTAGCATGCTGATGGAATTACGGCACCAGACGCACCGCAGCCTCGGTGAGGGCTTTGTAATCTAATCACGGCTGTTCACAGCAGCACTGACGGATGTGCGGCCGCTCCCTCCGGGGCCATCGGGCGTGGTGCTGCGGGGACCCATGGTCCGGTGGGGGCCGGTGTCCACGCTGCTCCCGAGGGCCGCAGCAGAGGCTTCCGCTCAGCCCCGAGAAGGCTGGGCTCAGCGGAGGGCGCAAGAGGCAGTTTAGTTTCCCATCTGTGTGATTTACGGAATTGATGAAAACACAGCGTTCTTGATTTTCGAAACGGCTGCTGAAGGTTTGGTGGTGGGAACTCGCAGCCTGGACACTTCCCATTAGGGTCTTTGTGCCGGGGGCCGGAGCAGTCTTGCCCAGCCCAGTCGGCCCCATGAGTCCCAGGGATGTGACGCCCATGTCATCCCCCCTTCCCACGCCTCACACCCCCGCCCACCCCCACCCCTCCTTCCACAGTGGAAGAATCCGTGGGAGTTTCTGTTTCCTAGAGTGGAACTGTGGTTATTTGGCTCCTGTCTTGTCTCTCTGATTCACAAGGACAGGAAAGAGGAGGTTGAAGAGGGACACAGGGTCGGAACCTGGTCACAACAAGCTGTGGATGATCTGGGGAACGTCCAGGACGTCACAGATCAGCGGTGACAGAGACTGTGCTGGGGACGTACAAGCATGACTCGGCCAGGAGCCTCCACAGTGAGACCCAGAGCCTGTGGGGGCCCCGGGAGATGGTGACTGTACCCCAGCTTGGTATGTCCTCGGCCTAC